CACGAACTTTCCCAGATAAACAAAACCTGAAAGAATTTACCAGCACCAGACCGGATCTCCAAGAAGTTCTTAAGGGAGTGCTATGTCAGTAAAATTAAATGCAGACACACAGAAATAAGAGTTCAGAAACTAAGAAAATGGGCAACTTAATTGTAGGGCCAAAAGCTGGAGTTGAGTATTACATCCCAGATTTCAATCTGGAACATCGAACCTCAACAGATACAGAAGAAAGATTAAGTACATGAGACTGAACTGATGAAACAGTATTCTACGACTTGACTAAAATATTGCTGCTTTTCTTCTAAGCTTTGTTGTCTGGTTTTAAGGACTTTTGTCCTGTCTTCAGCTATCAATAGATTCATGTTCCGACTATTTGAACAGAATACTAACCTGTTTCTAGGCTTTAAGTTTCAAAGAAATATCCTTACCAGTTCAAAACTGCTTTTCTTGAAACCATCGGCTGATCTTGCTATTGAAAGTAGTTAGATTACTTATGATATTGTGTGACCAACGAAATGTTGGGGGAAAAGGGATTGAAGACAACTGTAGACAGCAGAGATAGTGTAATAAGAGAGTGGAATAGGGCAGAGGGCTAGACATGGGGTAAAAAAACATATATATGAAAGTAGAAATGGAATATTATGGATGATAACATGCATTATTAAGCCACTATATAGTATATTCTAGATGGGAAACCACATTTAGAATGTTGTGATGATGCTCAGGGAATGAATGTAAATTAATAAAAAAAAAAAATTTTCAGAAGAAAAAAAAAAAAGGCATTAGAAATACCTATTTGATGACTGCAGTTAAGCTATATAGCCCTAGTTAGGTGCTACGTTATAGTATGTTCATTCTATTCACTGAGGTTTATGCCTAAAGTCAGTCTTGTGTTCATGGATATGTACATATCAGCTGTGCTTGCTATTGAAAATATTTAGATTTATTAAGATATTTAGTGAAACAATAAAATGGGGGAGGCATAGAAAGCAACAATAGATACCAGACACAGTGTGGGAGGAGGGTGGGAGATGGCAGAGGGTGAGATAGGGAATCAAGGATGGGAAAAAAGGCAAAATATACAGAAAACAAGAAATGGAAAATGATTTGTTGACAATAACACATATGTTGATGTGCTTGATTGAGCCAATATACAGTGTATTCTCAATGGAAAAATCTCATTTTGTATGCTATAATGATGTACAGTGAATGAATGTAAATAAAGAAAGAAAAAATGTAAAAAAAAAAAGAAGTAATGAGTATTTATTACCTTTGTGTTTAATATGTTAATTGTTACTTCATATATAACTCAACTTTTAATAAGAGTTGGCTCTAACAACCACCTTGCAAAATTCCTAATAATAATCAGATCTTAAGCATCTGTACAGGCAAATTCCATCATACCACTGTACCATTCTCAGAAGGCACAAGTGCCACATTACAACCAAACCTTCTGCTCTTACCTGGCTTCCTCCATGCCTCACCCATGGAGGTATCAGACATAGCCTAGTGAGCAGAAGAAAGGGAATAGAGCAAGATGGGAAATAAAGATGTGAATCGACCTTCCCTTAAAACCAAGCTGGCAGAAAGGTGAAGCTTAAATTGAATGAGAGTTAGCATTTATAACATTCTTAGGCTAAAATGTACTTTCTAATGTCAAACTATCTAGAAAAACAAACATGCCTACTATTCACCCTGGGATAGCAAATGACAAATAGAGCAAACAAGTTTATAGGGGAAAAGGTTAAAAAAAATTAACATTATTTTCTGTTTCTGCTCTATATGATATAGCTTATGAAGAAACGAATAAGTGGGCCAGTGGGTGGTGTGGTGGTTAAGGTGCTAGATTCCCACATGGCTGACCACAGTTCTAGTCCTGGACTTGGTGGCTTGAAATCATGCCAGGTGCATGTACGAGCATGCCCAAGATCACAGGAAGGGAATGGAGAAGTTGTGGCATGGCTGTCCCCCAAGGGGTGATTTCTCACTTTCCCTTTTACTGTATGTCTCCCACTAGTGCATGTGCCCTATGGCAAAAATCTTAAAAAAAAAAAAAAAAGTGATATATTTCAGTGTAACAAATTACCCTGAAACTTAAAAGTTTAAAAATTATTTTAAAATGCATGTGTCAGGAATTCAGGACTTAGCTTCGTGGTTCTGGCTCATGAGGTGATTCTCTTCATGAAGTCATAATCAAGATGTTGGCTGAACTATTTACAATAGCCACGATACAGAAGCAGCCTCAATGTGCATCAGCAAATGAACAGATGAAGAGAACATGGTATATATACACAATGGAATACTGTTCAGCCATTAAAAGCATGAAATCTGGTCATTTGAGGCTAGGATGAGCCTGGAGGACATTATGTAAAATGAAATAAGCCAGTCACAGAAAGTGAAAATGCCACATGTTCTCCTTCATATATGGAAATTAGGGGGAAAAAATGACCTCATAGAAGTACAGAGATGTAGACTGACTACTGGACACTGGGAATGATTTCATAAGGGGGAGTAGAGGGATGTTGATTAACAAAAACAAAATTGCAAATAGATAGAAGGAGCAATGTCTAGTGTTAAAATATAGTAGGAGGAAAACTATATAACAAATGATTAAGATGAGGGGTATAATAATCATTAGTATTAATGATTAAATAATTTAATCATTGCACATTGTATTTATGTACTGAAAATCACACTGTAAATTTTTTTTTGGAGAGGTTTTTTTTGCTATAGGGCATGTGCGCTCGCCAGAAAGACAGAGACAGACAAAGAGATAGAAAGTGAGAAATCACCCCCCCAGGAGGGGATGGCCACACTGCAATCCCTTCTCCTCCATTCTCCTCTCGGGATCTTGGGCACGCACGCACACACACCCGGCGTGAGTTTAAGCCACTGGGTCCAGGACTTGAACTGCGTTTGACTACATGGGAGTTCAGCGACATAGCCATTACGCTAACTGCTGGTCCCCACACTGTAAAAATTTTATGCTAATAAAAAATAATTAAAAATATGTAGAGAAAATTTATATATATATTGGGCTGTCAGAAAAGTCATGACAGAGTTTTGCATTTTTGCCATGTGGGAGTCCAGTGCCTTAATCACTATACCTGCTGACCCCTATATTATTTATACTTATAAAACATTTATGAGTGATTCAGTATGTACCAAGCATTGTGCTACCTAGTTACTAAGGATAACAAAAGCAAGTTTACCCAGAAACCTTTAATAGTGACCTAATTGTTTCTTATAATGTATTTTTTATTTCTCAGCAAATTATTAGATAATTAGCACTGAAAGTCCAAAATTAAAAATACCTGACTTTGGAGAGCAGCATAAAAGTCTTCTGGGCAAATAAAAAGATACAAAAACAAAAACAAAAGACTGAGCAGGCATGGTATCCCTAAGACTGTAGTCTAATTTCTAATTTATACATACCCCATCTTTTTTATAAGGATTAAAGGCAAGTTAGAAGTATATATTAAAATGTAACAAAGTAAGGTAAAGTAAAAATAAAAGAGAGGGGCCAGATGGTGGCACAGCAGTAAAATGTGACACTCTGTAAGGCTGACTCACATGGGAAGGTCCCAGGTTCATGTCTGGGGACCTTCTCTGAACATGCTGAGCACTTGTGTCTGTGATGCAGGGCAGGCTGATGGAGTGGATAGATCATGGTGTCAAAACTCTGCTGGAATGCTGTCTCTTTGTCTATCCCTCACAGAAGAAATAAATAAACTTTAAAATTCAAAAAATAATAAACAAAAGAGAAACACTAACACAAAAGGAAAACAAGAATCGCCATGATAGCTTAAAATTTTGACTTCTGGTGGTCAAAATTTGACTAAGCTTTCAAGTAGACAACTCATGTAGGAAAACCTCATCAGTTATTCCATTCAATTCCCATAAAAAAAGAAAAAACTACTTTGAAGTACAACTATGCATTAAGCCAAGATTTTTTAATGGCATTATTATAATATGAGCTATAATGCTCAAATATATCCGTCAAAGAGACATAACGACAAGCTTCACATGGCTGTTTCTTAGAGTATCACTTCACAAAAGTTGATGGCATGACCCCTGTTACAGATTTTTTTTTCATGTTGTCAGTCAAAGTTAGAGAACTGAGCTAGATGCTAGATCTGACATCCCTGTGAAAACCAGCATGCTTAAGAACAAAAGCATGCCTGAATAGGTCACTCCTACACTTGAAGAGTGAGGAATACTTTACAGACAAGTAAGACATTATCCTTCGTCCATTGGAAAGCTTCTTTCCAATATACAGACACATAGGTACTTGAAACCCTGAATTATGACCTCAGACAGAATAACTGCACTAATTTTATACTGCAAAATTTCCAGGGTACACATTTCTAGGCACACTCAGGATTCAGCAAACTGAGATAGCAGTTTGGGGATTCATAGATAAATCTGCAGTATGTATACAAGAAGGTGAGCTTTAACAAACTGCATTACTGAGACCAGAAGGTGGCGTGGTGATTAAGGCGCTGGACACTCCCACATGGCTGACCAGGGTTCAAGTCCTGAATCTGGTGGCTTGCTTTCTCACTTCCTCTCTCTCTCACTCTCAACCTCTGTCTCTCTCTGGTCAAATTAAAAAAAAAAAAAAGAGTGAATAAATAAAAATAAAATAATTATTTTAAAAAACCAACCAAACAACAACAAAAACAAACAAACTGCATTACTATGATTAAGAATAAGAGTACAGGACCAGCAGATGGCGTAGTGGTTATTTTGCTGGACTCCCACATAGTTGACCATGGTTCAAGTCTCAGACCTGGTGGCTTAAAACTCATGCCAGATGTGTGTCTGTGTGTGCATCCCCAAAATCTCAGAAGAATGGAAGAGAAGGGATTGTGGCATGGCCATTCCCCCTGAGGGTTAATTTAATTTCTCGCTTTCTATCTCTCCGGTGAGGACACACACTCTATAGCACTATAGCAAAAAAAAAAAAAAAAAAAAAGAATAAGAGTATACTACGTTACCACCAATAGTCATGGATCTGGTCAAAGAAGGTTGTAATAAAGTTTCTTCATCATTAAATTGTTTCTTAAGTTCTTCTACAGATTCTAGACGGAGTTGGAGAAATTCTGCAGTTGCTACTGATGCTTCTTCTTTAATAGGATCTATCATTCTTTTCAAAAGTACTAAGTCATCCTTTTGCACTTTCAAACAGAGCTTCTCCATTTCTCGGATGTTGGAGCGGAGTTGCTATAAAAGAAAAGAAATCATTACTGCTAGCATCTCTTTAGTATAAAATAGCTTTTTTTCAGGTGTAATTTGTTATAATGGTTGTGAACGGAACTATTACACATATTCTCTACAACAGAAGGGGTGGTGCCATGTCCAGAGCAGCTGAAATGCAGGACCCTCAGAAATGCGAGAGAGATACAACACACAAGACAAGCAGTGACCTTTATCAGGGAGGTCAGGGCGCTCAGTCTCAGAGGAGTGCAGGCCAGACTGACTGATTCTCTGAATTTATTGAGGAAGAAAGTGCCAGAGAGGCAGTAAGCATTTGCTAGTCCTTGCAGCTGCTGAAAGCAGCAAGACAGTGAAACATCCTCAGGGAACAGGTGGAACTCTTGCTCCAGTGGATGGGATTACGTGTTCCTGTTTTCAGGACAGAGTGAGCACGGTGTTCTGTGTTTTCTCACTCTGACAGTAACCATCTCAAGGTCCAATCATCCTGTAACAGTGTGGCATAATACTTTCTATTTTTCCATGTCTCTAATAAGCCAAATTCTGCATCTTTAGAACCCAAATTTCTAATTTATGTAGAATTTTTTTCTTCATTAATGTGATTATTACAAAAGTAACAAATGTTATTCATAATAAATTAAACACTACAAAAACATATCAAGAAAAAACAAGGGCCAACCCTTGGCAATGGTGGGTGAAGCAGTTGGATCCCACATGTCCAACTGTGTAGTTTAAGTCCTGGACCCAGTGACTTGAAAAACATGCCAAGTACATATGCCCAAAATCCTTAAAAGAAGGAAAGATGGATGGAAGAAAAGAAACTGCAGGGTGACCATTCTCCACAAGGGAAGGTCAGGGTGCTTTCTCTTCTTTCTTTCTCCAGTGAATGTGCACACCCTCTAGCAAAAAAATTTTAACTAAGGAAAATTATTTTCTCACTTCACCAATCCCACCTTCTCTCTCTCTCACTCCCCCCCCCCTTTTTTTTGTTATAGGGTATGTGCCTTTGCCAGAGGGAAACAGAGAGAGTGAGAGGGAATGTGAGAAATCACCCCATGGGGGGAGATGGCCATGCCACAATTCCTTCTCTTCCATACTCCAAGGACTTTGGGCATGTGCACCCACAATCCTGGCATGTTTTCTAAGCCACCGGGTCTGGGACTTGAAACATGCAGTCAGCCATGTGAGATTTAGCTATAGTAAACCACCACACAACTGGCTGGCCCTGAATTTTATCAAATTTAAAGAGATTATATGATATTATAGCAAAAATTATACTGTGATAACACTTCATAAAAGAATCCAATATGGTTGTGTAAAGGTGTGCTATGATAAATTTGGAATTTCAAGATTTATTTTAAAATGGGGAAATAAAAAGAATGAAAAGAAAGACACGTGACCAAGGATGAATGCAAAAGAGTAGTGTGAAATGAGGAGAATCATCTAAGAGCCCAGAATGAGCGGAGGCTGGTGAAAAATGTTAAGAACAATAAAAAGGATTAAAAAAAATAATGTAGAACAAGAACAAGAAGGTTTGGGCGTACAGCTTGGGGCAGATGGTATAATGTTAACAGATGATACAAGGAAAGCAGAATTACTTAGCTACTATTTTGTTTTTGATTTTGTATTAAGGAGAAATATTTAAAATTGAAAGTGGCATAAAAAACACACTCAAAGGATATTTGAAATCTATTTTCTGTAATATTTAAATAGGCATCATGAAGGAAGGGAGATGTGAGCTATCTCTAAAAAATAATATTGAGAAAACAGCCTACAGAATAGAAAGAATAGATTGGGAAAAGACACATGTAGAGTAGAAGCCTTCTAAATAGTATATTGTATCGATTTTAGGACACAATATCTTTTTCACATTTTAACATCTCTGAAATTGGAATGTATCTTAACTAGCAGCTTTTCTTTCTTAGAGGTAAATACAATAATGTGTCTTATTTTTTATGGCGTCTATTCAAATTATTCCCTTAGGTTCTACAGAACCTATGCCAATCAGAGTAGAGATCAAGAATCCTAAATTATAATTAGCTCTTAAAAATTATAAGACAAAATTAAAGTAATTCATTTATTTGAAGTTCACAATAACCTAAACAATTCATATTCTTTTTTTTATTATTATTTTTTTTTTGAGAGGTTTTTGCTATAGGGAGCATGTGCTTGCCAGAAAGACAGAGACAGACAGAGAGACAGAAAGTGAGAAGTCACCCTCCCAGGGGGGATGGCTATGCCACAATCTCTTTCTCCTCCATTCTCTCAGGATCTTGAGCACGCACACGGACCTGGCGTAAATTTAAGCCACTGGGTCTGGGACTCGAACTGCAGTCGACTACATGGGGGTCCAGCGACATAGCCATTATGCCAACTAATGGTCCCAACAATTCATATTCTAATAGCATTCATTTTGGACTTGACTCTTCTATCTTCTCGATTCACTACCTGGTTTTGTTTCTTCTAATCTTTTTTCTACTAATTTTTGTCAACCATACTTGCTTTTCTATTGTCCTCCTCACTCCTTCTCTTTTCTACTGCGTCTCCTTTTTAAAATCCCACTTTGTTTAAAAAAGAAAAAAGAAAAAAGTAGATTCTTATTTCTCCTGGTTAAATCATAAAAGTCACATTTCACTTGCACAAATTCCATGGCTCACTTTATTTCTGTTAATCTGTGTGACTTAAGGAACTGGGATAGACTCTCTGCAGATCAGTATCTTTCCAAATGTGTTCCAAAATCTACTGAATCAAAATTTCCAAGGTGAGTCCCATAAATTTATATTCTCAACAACTTCCGTATCATCAGGTTTCTAGAAAAGTCATGTTAATATTTTTAAGTCAACATTATATAGCAGTAACAATTTCCCACTCTTACACTTGGTTTCAAATCTTTCTTAATGCTAATATTTTCTTATCCTAGAGAAGAAAATGTTCAATTATACTTGCAGCTTCAAAATATAACGGTAGAGGGACTTCCACTTCTGTCCTAGGTGAACAAAGTTTGCAGAATAGAGTACTGAGGGTAAGAGAGCCACAGAGAGAACCCTGGAGATAGGCAGAGTGATTTTCTTTTTTTTAATATATCAGTATTTGAGATCACTGGGAATTTGTAAGCAACTGATTAGAATATGTATGTAAGTATGGACAATTTCCGAGGCTGGGGAAAGAACCGTTTGAAAAGGTTAGAAGAAATAGTGCCCAGCACTCATTCAAAGGTAGAAACAGTACCTGTTCCCACCAGCTAACCTGGAAAAAAACTCATTGGACACTTGGGAAGGGTACTCAGAAAGGTTGTGCCTCAATAATGAGAAGCAATTTAACCACAGACTAAGTATCACTCCACTTAAGCCTAATTAATGAATCATAAAAGTAACACCCAAAAGGATCAATCTGTTTCAAGTAACTTAACTACTTTCCAAAACAATGCTCAAAAAGATTTATAGGATATAAAATATCCAGCACCCAGCAAGGTAAGGATGCCCAAGCCAAGATCAAAGGCATACAAAGAAACATGAGACCCATAGTGAGATTACTCAGTGAATCAAAACTGACCTAGAATTGACACAGATATTGTATATAGTAGAAAAGGATAATAAAAATTATAATTTTATCTCCTACATTAAAAAGTTAAGTAGAGACATGGAAGATATAAATAAATCCATGGGCCAACTTCTTGGCACAGGAGTAATCCTTTGCTCAAGAGAACCAGGATCCTACAAGACCACCTCAATGCAAAGCCTCGGCCTGGCAGCCAGAAACTGTCTAGGCATGCATCTGAGTGTCCAACATTATACATCATACATGCTCATTTCTGTCTCTCCTCTGTCTTTTTCTCACTCTCATGTGTACATGCATGGGCTTTATCATACATTAATTTTGTTTTTATTTGCCAGAAGGCACATGTACTTGCCAGAGAGAAAGGCAGAAACACAGAGAGAGAGAAAGAAGGGAAATATTTATGCCACAATTCCTTTTCCTCCATCTCTCATTTCGGGGTCTTGGGTGACCAGCATGTTCAAGAGAAAAACATTTTTTTTTTTTGAGAGGTTTTTCACTATAGGACACGTGCACTCGCCAGACAGACAGAGACAGAGAGACAGAAAGTGAGAAGTCACCCCCCAGAGGGGATGGCCATACCGCAATCCCTTCTCCTCCATTCTCTCGGGATCTTGGGCACGCACGCACACGTGCCCGGTGTGGGTTTTAAGCCACCGGGTCCAGGACGCGAACCGTGGTCGACTACGTGGGAGTCTAGCGACATAGCCATTACGCTAACTGCTGTTTCCCTCCAAGAGAAAAACATTTTTTAAAAAGATCCAAATCAAGGGACCAGCAGTTAGCGTAATGGCTATGTCGCTAGACTCCCACGGAGGCGACCACGGTTCGCGTCCTGGACCCGGTGGCTTAAAACCCACACCGGGCACGTGTGCGTGCGTGCCCAAGATCCCGAGAGAATGGAGGAGAAGGGATTGCGGCGTGGCCATCCCCCCAGGGGGTGATTTCTCACTTTCTGTCTCTCTGTCTCTGTCTGTCTGTCTGGTGAGTGCACGCTCCCTATATCAAAAACCTCTAGGGAAAAAAAAAAAAGATCCAAATCAAAATTTTACAGGTGAAAACTACAATATGTGAGATGAAAAATATACTGAATAGATTAATGGCAGATTAGGCACTGCTGCTGCTAAGACTAGTGAACATGAAGGCATAGCAATAGAAACTATCGAAAACAGGAAAAAAGGAAAAATAATTTAAAAAATACTAAAAATGGTACCAGTGAGCTATGGCATAATTTTTTAAAGAATTATTTTATTTAACTTTATTATTGTTATTTGAATATTTCCAGAGAGACACACACAGAGAGAGGGTAAGTGAGAAGGCAAGCCTCCAGGTCCAGGACTTGAACATAGTTGGCCATGTGGGAGTCCAGCGCCCTTAACCACCATGCCACCAGCCAGCCCCATTATAACATAATTGTAAACTGTCTGTAATCCCCGTGATTTGGGAGGGTGAAA